TTACTGGAGTTAAGGTGCGGTGGAGTTGCCTTGGGCCTTAAGTTTACTTCCTATAGAAGGTTTCATACGCGATGTGGGTATCGCATCTTGTGTGACGTGATGAAGGCATCGCGTCTTGTGTGTCGCGATGAGGGCATCACGTCTGTGTTTCGCGATGAGGGCATCGCGTCTGTGTTTGTTCTTTGCGCTTTGCTCTGGTCTTCAATGGGCCTGGGCTTCCTTATGTGTTTTTGGGCCCTGGTTGGGCCTATATTTTATCCGGATCAGTAGCCCCCTAGCTTGCGGTTTTGTCATGTGGCAAGGCCGCGAGCTATATGCTTCTTTTTGAGGCGCGGTAGTTTGTTTTTCATATGTTCTCTTCTGTGTTCCGCAGTAATTATGCTTGTAATGTCATCATGACCTTCAACAGCTTAAGAACGGTGGATTAGACGTCTAATCAGTCAGAAGTGTTAAATGCTATTGTGATTACGTGGGGGTTTAAGGACAGGCGTGGGTGGTTTTGTAAGTAAAACGCTTCCACTTCCCGCCACGTGTCCCCGTTAACCCATTTTGCTCAACACTTTTCGTGGCTTTCGATCTATCCGTTGGAGAGAAACCTTTTGTATTTGTGCTGAGCCTTTTAGTTTGGAGGGAAAAAAACAATTCGCTGATACTGTGGAAATTCTCTCGTCTCTCAGTACTTTTTTCTTCTGCATTTCCGGTGGTGACACGTCCTGCTCGTGGTGTGCATTTTTGAAGTATAAATCTCAGGTATGTTCTTCCACCTGATTTTACCTGTGTTTCTTTCTTCTTATTTAGCCTTTTCTTCCTCGTGTTTGAGGTATGTCTGGTAATCGCAAATGTGCGGATTTTATTAGATTTTTCGAACGGTCTGGCTCGTCTAGTCCTCCGTCGAGATTGTTATCAAGATCAAGGTCTTTGGAAACCAAGGATAAGCGGCCTACTGTAGGATGTATAGCCCCTTGTTCCAAAGCGTACGCTAGTCATGTCCCCTCAGTCCGTACGTTTGAATTAGGGTCATCTTCGCGACAATCTAATCGCGAAAAGATATTGTCTCAACATAGTTCGTCTGTGTTTCCCAAAATTTCTCTGAACATGTCTAAGCCTATTGAGATATCGAGTGACTCTTCGTCGAGTACTGAGGGCAATTATAAGTCAGCTGATTCAAGAAGCCCTGAATCGCCTTCCTTAAATTCATCGCGCGATTCTTCGTGTTCCATCGCGCACGAGTCTTTTGGCTAGAAAAGCCCTAGTCCTTTGCCTTTAAATGTAATTTATCCAGCCGGGTATCCTTTTAAGAAAATGAATTTTGATTATTTTAAACCTGCTTCTTCTGACTTATCTTCTTCAACTGATTCTTCTTCTTCTGAATCAGATTTTGTGTCTCCCCAAATCAAGGAAATTATGGCAAGACGCAGCACGCATGAGAAGAAGAAACAGAAAACGCAATCTGACGTGAAGAAGAAAGTCTTACGCATTGACCCTGATGAAGAGTCTCCGGTGAAACGAAATTTACGGGATGAAAATTCCCTTAGTTGGGTGGCAGATACGGTATTGGATACTGAGTCTGTATTGTGCTCTCCAGGAGAGTTAGCGGAGGTAACAACAACTCTGCACCTTACTCCTGATAAAGCTTTTGATGATCAATGGGAGATTGGTGTCGTCCCGAAGAATGAGCGTGTTTGCTCATCGCAGGCAGAAGGATCAATCAGGCACTTTATGATGTTGTATTCCTACTTCTTTTAGTGTATAGGAGTTCATTTTCCTTTTTCTTCTTTTGTTTGTAAACTACTGGCGCACTTGAATGTGGTGCCTTCACAGCTGACCCCCAATGCCTGGGGTTTTATCAGAGTGTACGAGATGGTTTGCAAGGCCTATGGTCTATTCTAATCTGTTCAATCGTTCTTGTACATGTTCAGTGTAATAGGACCTCGTAATAGCTGGATATCATTTAGGAGCAAAGTAAAATTTTGTGAGTCGTATTCTAGAAAAATTAATAAGTGGAGCACAGAATATTTCAAGATTTACCCCGCCGAAGGTACCAAACCCTTTTTCATAGGCGATGATGGGACTCCTATCTTTCCGTTGTATTAGTCAGAGTATTCAACTGAAAGTGCTGTCTTGAGCTATAACTTTACTGATTTGAGTGACGTAGAACAAAAGACGGTGACCACTTTAGGTAACATTTCTTGCGAGGCTTCTGATACGGGCTCGCTGAGTACGTTCACGATTTTAAATGAGTACTCCGAGGATGATATTCGACCTTATCTGGGTAACTTGGACCTTTATTCACTTTATAAATGTTTTAATCAAGGTACCTGAGCATATCACGATGTGTAGATATGTTGGAAGTGTATTTAATCATGTCATTCTTTGTTCTGGTTTGCAGATAGTGCGATGATGGCGTCTTTAAGTAGAATGGAACAGATGGCTGCCAATCGTGCTGCTGCTATTGCGGGTGCCTCAAAATCTCCCCAACCGTCCATGTCTGCGGTCGCCGCTGTTGCTGAGTCAAGCGAGCATGCTGCTGCGCGGTTGAAGTCTCCATTAAAGTCCTTAACTCCTCCTGATGCCCTGCTAGATGTCATCCCTCCTGTGGTAGTGGTGGAGGATACCGCGAGGGGTAAGAAAAGATCCCTTGAGGAGATGACCGAGGGGTCTACTACAGGGTGGCCATACTTTGGTTGAAGGTTGGACCATGATATGCATGCTCATGGCAGAGGATTTGGCGCTCGTCTTGAAGCGCTACCTCGAGACCAATGGCTACAGGTTTCCCAGAGTTTGAGCATAGCGGGTCAATTCCTTATGTCCGCATCTGGTAATTACCTTGATATTTTACTGTTTATATGATATGATATTGCGCTTGTACTTATTGCTTTTTAACATGTAACAGGTTTTGTGGACTTCCTGAAGGAGCGAATTGATGCGCTGACGGGTGAAAATGCTCAACAATGCGCTGATTTTGAGGCTAAATTGAAGAAGTCTGAAGAAGAGGTAGCCAAACTGAAGACAGCTATGGAGAAAAAGGATAGCGCCCTTAAGATCCTGACGACCTCCAACAAGGGATTGGAGGCAGAGAAGAATGATCTGTCCAAGCGCGTTTTGGAGCTGGAAGGAAACGCTGATTCCTGGGCCGATGAGAAGGCCTTCTTAACCAGTGAGGTAAAGAGGTATCAGAGTTTGTTTGAGAAAGAGGCTGAGGCAACTTTTGTTAATGTGATGGAACAAGTGTGCTTTTTCAATCCTTCCGCCAAACTAGACAATGTGCACTATTTTTACTATTTCAAGGACGGCCAGCTGGTGACACTTAACGACCAAAATCAAGAGGTTCCAGTGGAACTGGTCAGCGCGATGGATACCGAGACTATCACGCCTACCCCGCAAGAGCCATCTCTTCATGGTCCTCCTACCGTCGGTGAAGATCACGCTACTGATAATGATGATCCTCAGGATATGTCTATCCAAACAGTGTGATATTGTTATAATTTTTGCTCGGAGTTGTATAATTTTTTTTTGTAAGGGGAATATCTCCATGTGCTCCAAAACAATGATGATTTGAAGGGGAGTGTCCCCATATGCTCCAAATCAAATATTTTATGTGGATGGCATAGATGGTGTAAGTTTTTGTCTTATGGTATGATGAATGCTTGCTATCCTGTTATTTGTAGAATGATCGGGGTTGAATATTCCTTGAAGGGATATTACCCTTCTTTTCCTTCTTTTTGTTCTTGGACTTTCTTTGTATGGTGTCTGACAATCATACCTTTGTTCCTGATATCACGCTTTGGAGGGAATTGTGACCCAAGTAAGGTGTTTCCCATCTGTATGGTGCTAGTATGTTGCTTTCTCCGCGATCATTTAACGTGGCGAATCACGTTTGGTCATATAGGAGTCCTTTAGTTACAGGATCTTGTCAATGTGGAAAGTCCTTGTGAAAGGATCCGTTGCAAATGGAAAGTTCTTTTATCAAGAACCTCGACTTGTATTTCGTATGGAACTTGAACACCATAACTATATGCTGCAAGGTTAGACAATTTATAAATTATAAATACTGTGCGCACCTTGGTTAAGTTCATGATGTCTGATGTCATCTTGATGTGCATATGATGCACGCTGGTTGCGTCGCGCTTTTAAAAAGAGTTGGGCCCAAGGTGGGGTTCATGTTGCCACGATATCGCACTTGAACATGGAGAATCGCGATACGTCTTGGAAGATCATGATGTGAATAATTCTGACCTATGGAGAAGATCCTTGTGAGGGAGTCCATTGATTGGAGGATTCGTGGGAGAATCCTGTTATTTGATAAGATCCATGAGAGGAATCCTGTTATTTCATAGGATCCATGAGAGGAATCCTGTTACTTGAAGGATTCGTGGGAGAATCTTGTTTTTTGATAGGATCCATGAGAGGAATCCTGTTACTTGAAGGATTCGTGGGAGAATCCTATTATTTGATAGGATCAATGAGAGGAATCCTGTTACTTGGAGGATTCGTGAGAGAATCCTGTTACTTGATAGGATCCATGAGAGGAATCCTGTTACTTGGAGGATTCGTGAGAGAATCTTGTTACTTGATAGGATCCATGAGAGGAATCCTGTTACTTGGAGGATTCGTGAGAGAATCCTGTTACTTGATAGGATCCATGAGAGGATTCCTGTTACTTGGAGGATTCGTGAGAGAATCCTGTTACTTGATAGGATCCATGAGAGGAATCCTGTTACTTGGAGGATTCGTGAGAGAATCATGTTACTTGATAGGATCCATGAGAGGAATCCTGTTACTTGGAGGATTCGTGAGAGAATCCTGTTACTTGATAGGATCCATGAGAGGAATCCCGTTACTTGAAGGATTCGTGGGAGAATCCTGTTATTTCAGGAATACTGTGATCCTGTACATTTATGCTTGATGCAACATGGATAAATAGTCAAAGGAAACTTGCGATTTTTTATTATTTGGAGAAATAAGTTTGAAAGACAAATATATGATGAGTCGTAAGAGACTTAGCTATAAAATGTCTTAAGCTTGTCCGCGTTCCACGTGCGCGGGATAGTAAGACCGGATAGTGTCTCTATGACATACTCCCCCTTATCTGTTTTGCTATAGATGCGATAGGGACCTTCCCAGTTTGCGGCCAATTTGCCTTGCCACGTGTTCTTATTACCGATGTCGGCTCTGCGTAGAACTAAGTCGCCGACGTTGAAGCTTCGTCTGACAACCTTTGAGTTATAGCGCGCTGCTATTCTCTGTTTGAGCGCTATTTCTTTGACATGCGCAACTTCGCGCGCTTCCTCGATTGCGTCTAAATTATGAAGCAATGCTTGTGAGTTGCTGTCTTCATTTGTGTACATCCTTCTCCATGATGGTTCTCCAATTTCCACTGGGATCATGGCTTCACTACCGTAAACCATGCGAAACGGGGTTTCTCCACTAGTTGAATGTTTGGTTGTCCTGTATCCCCATAACACAAAGTCTAACTGTTCGGGCCAGTCTATTTTAGCTGCTTCTAATCTTCTTTCCAATCCGCGTTTGAGGACTCGATTTGCAGCTTCTGCCAATCCGTTTGTTTGTGGATGTTCAACCGATGTGTATCGGTGTTTGACATGCAAGTCTTGAAGAATTTGATTGAATTTTTTGTCCCCAAATTGCGTACCATTATCAGTTATGATGGTATGCGGAACACCGAACCGACTTATGATTTATCGAAAGAAGAATCGGCGAACCTTACTGGCTGATATCGTGGCTAAAGCCTCTGCCTCGATCCATTTGGTGAAGTAGTCGATTGCTACTAGCAACCATTTGACCCCTCCCATGGCGATTGGGAATGGTCCCAATATGTCCATGCCCCATTGGTAGAATGGCCATGGGGATAGCATTGAAGACAATTCCTCTGGGGGAGCATGGTGTAAGTCTGCGTGCTCCTGACATTTGACACATTGTCGCACGTGTTTTTTGGCCAACAATAGCCTGTATGAAGCAGTTTTCAAGATAAGGATTTCCCTCCCATGTGATGTCTGCCAATTCCCTCGTGTACATCAGAGATTATATACTGAGCCTGCTAAGGATCTAAACATTTAAGCATTGGGGAGGAGAACCCTTTTTTTGTAGAGTTGGTTGTTGATGATAGTGTAGAACGAAGCCTTGCGCGATAGCTTTTTTGCTGCGCGTGTTTCTTGTGGTGCCTCTCCTTTGACTAAATAGTTCCAAATTGGTGTCATCCAAGTCTCTTTATCGTCCAATGGCATGTTGTCATCATCAACCATGGATTGCGCATTTTGGGATGGTTGAGCTTTTTGTTTAGTTACAGCCATTATGATGCTAGGGTTGGGGACGCTTTGTTGGATCACAGATCTATTATTTCCCGGTCCTTTTGTGCTGGCTAACTTGGATAAAATGTCAGCTCGTGAGTTTTGCTCTCTGGGGATGTGCTCCATTTTAAAGCTTTGAAATTCTGTCAGTAGTAGTCTCACTTTTTCAAGATATTTTATCATTAATGCTTCTTTCTCCTGGTAATTTCCTTGGACTTGAGCAATTACTAATTGTGAGTCGCTTTTGAGGGTTATGTTTGTTGCCCCTAAGTCTTTGACCATGGCAAGTCCAGCGAGGACTGCTTCGTACTCGGCTTGGTTATTTGAGGCTTTAAATCCAAAATGGATAGAGTGCTTTACTGTTATGCCTTGAAGGCTTTCCACGATGACTCCTGCACCGCTTCCTTTAACATTGGAAGATCCGTCGACAAAAATAACCCACTCCTCACTCATCTCAACCTCCTGTAGGTGTGTCATTTCGACGAGGAAGTCTGCTAATACCTGGGCTTTGATTGCTTGTCGTGGTTCGTAGATGATATCATATTCTGATAATTCTATTGACCACGAAATCATGCGACCTGCCAGATCGGGTTGTCTTAACACTTTTCAAAGGGGTTGGTTTGTTCGAACTTTGATGGTGTGTCCCTGGAAATAATGGCGCAGGCGTCACGATGTTAAGATGAGCGCGAAAGCAACCTTTTCTATTTGCTGATAGCACAATTCTGGTCCTTGGAGTGGTTTACTGACAAAGTAGATTGGTCGTTGTTCCATGGAGTCTTCGCGCAATAAGACAGCGCTTATGGCTGCGTTGCTGACAGATAAGTAAAGAACCAGAGGCTCATCTCGATGGGGTTTGACCAGGACTGGTGGGTTTGCCAAGTGCTATTTGATGGCCATGAATCATGTTTCGTATTCAGGGGTCCAATTGAAGTCTGTTTGCTTACGCAATAGCTTAAACATTGGTAGTGACTTTTGTGAAGAAGCAGGAAGAAATCGTGTTAGGGCAGTAATTCTTTCCGTCAATTGCTGTAGTTCCTTTATGTTTCGCGGGCTGGTCATGTTAAGTATGGCCCTACATTTATCAGGATTGGCCTCTATGCCGCAATGTGTTAGCATGAATCCTAAAAATTTTCCAGCTGGTACTCCAAATGCGCATTTGGCTGGGTTAAGTCGTAACCTGTATTTGCACAGTTGCTGAAATACTTGTTCCAAATCCTGGGGATGTTGTACAATAGTCATTGTTTTGACTATCATGTCATCAATGTATACTTCAAGCATCTGACCAATCTGCTGACTAAAAACTTTATTCATCATGCGTTGATAAGTGGCACCGGCGTTCTTGAGGCCAAACGGCATCATGTTATAGCAATAAGTAGCTTTTTCAGTGATAAAAGCAGTAGCTTTTTCGTCTGGTGTGAACATCAGAATCTAGTTGTAACCTGAATATGCATCCATGAAGGATAAAATTTGGTATCCCGCAGAATTATCTACCAGTTTATCAATGGTGGGAAGTGGATAAAAATCCTTTGGGCAGTACTTGTTAAGGTCTGTATAATCTGTGCACATTAGCCACTTTCTGTTGGGTTTCTTGACGAGTACCACATTAGAAAGCCAGGTGGAGTACGTGACTTCTCAAATTATCCCTGCATCAAGTAGTTTTGCTACTTCGGTCTTTACCACCATCTGTTTTTCTAGGGAAATTTTGCGCTTTTTCTACGCGAAAGGTTTAGCTTTGGGATCTAACGTTAAATGGTAACAAATAACGTCTGGGTCTATCTCTGGCATGTCAGCTGCTGTCCAGGCAAAGAGATCTTTATGTTTCAGTAGCACTGTCACCAACGCGCTTTTTTCTGCTTCGGGGAGGTGTCGCCCAATTTTGGTGACATTTTTAGGTAATGGCCCCACTTGAAGGTTTTCCAATTCCCCATCAGGTTGAGAACGTGTATCCCGCAAATCTTCGCGCATATCGAGGTCTGTCATATTGACAGATGCTTTGGCTTTGTTATCTGATTGTATAGGAGCTTTGGCTCGTAAACTAGTATTATAGCAGATGCGCGCCGCTTTCTGGTCGCCCCTGATAGCAACTATTGCGCTCGATGTATCGCGGAATTTCATCAAAAGGTGGGGCATAGAAATGATTTCCTTGAGCGCGACAATGGTTGGTCTTCCTAGGATGATGTTGTATGCCGATGCGTATTCAATAACATAAAACTGTACTTTGATAGTACGCGCCTGAGGCAGGATTCCAAAGGTTACCCATATCTCAATGGTGCCTTTAGGTTGTACGCATTCTCCAGCGAAACTAATTAGATCTGAATATCCACGAAGTAGATGTTCCTCTGGGATGTGCATCGCGCGAAAAGCATCCCAGAAAATAATATCAGTTGAACTACCATTATCAATCATAATACGTTTTACCTGGAGATTAACCATGCAAGGTGAGATCACCAACGGGTCATCATGGTCTGGGATGATGTCGCCGTGGTCATCGTCGTCAAAACTCATGGCCTGTCTTTGATCACGAGAAGTGGAATGGCGAGCGTGATCGCGCATCGTCATTACTAATTTCAGATGCTTTTTCCGTTGAGTTTTAGTCGCCCTCCTCCCGCTGATCCTCCGACAATAGTAGCTAAAACTCCTGCTGCGTTATTGGGTAGTCCATCGCTTTGTTGCTGCGCGGTTCGCTGTCTATTTTGTGGTGGAGTCCCTTGACGTCTGTCAGTCAAAGTTGCTCTGTCACTTCTTCGATCATTGTTACGAGCGGGGTTATAGTTTCTCCTGGGATGTACCCTTTGTTCATTGGGGTTTGGGTCATGGTATGGACTTCTGTCACGCCTTCTCTGCGCCTTATATTCCCTGCAGCTGGAAATGAATTCTTGGAGTTTTCCTTCTCTTATGAGTGCCTCAATGGTATTTTTAAGCGCGAGGCATTCGTTATTTGTATGACCTTTGTCGTTGTGAAATTCACAAAATTTAGTTTCATCGCGCTGAACTCCTTGCGGCATTGGGGGTGGCCTATTAACCCGTACATACCCTGTTTGGAATACTTCCTTCAAAATTCGTCTTTGGGAGGTATTCAAAAGGGTGTAATTGTCGTATCTCCCCCACTTTCTCTTTTCGCGGAATTTTCGTTGAAAATTCTTCTGGACATCTCTTTAAAAGTTGTCAGTGTTAGCCCTGGTGTTTGAAATTTCGCGTGAATGCTTGTAATCTTCCAAGTTGATGAATTTTTCTGATTGCGCTCTTAGTTCTTCTATGGTGCGTGGTCGCTGTTTGGCTAGCGACATAGAGAAAGGGCCTTCCAGTAATCCTTCAGTGATTATGTGTAGCGAGACTTGTGGATCCAAATCTCTGACTAAGAGCGCTTCATCAAAGAATCTATTTAGATAATCACGCAAAGTTTCTTTAGATCCTTGATGTGCAGTTTTTAGTACGTGCGTAGATTTGTATTGCGCCTTGCTCGTTGCAAATCGTACGAGGAATTGGTTGGTTATGTCCTCCCAACTTTGCACCGAATTAGATGGCAACGCTGAGTACTACCTAAGTGCTGTCTCCTTTAAGGTTGTTGGAAACAGTCGGCATGCTATTGGATCTACTACATCTTGTGCCATCATGTTTGTCAGGAATTGTTCCAGATGTTCTTGGGGATGCCCCTTGCCGTTATATTTTTCTGTTATGATCTTGACATCCCGAGGGATCGGGATGTTCATTATGCAAGGGGCGAATGGATGAACAATTCGAGAGAATGTCCTTGAATTTCCATGAGAATTCTCATTCTCGTGAGTATCTTTTATTTCTTCACCTTTCCTGTTTTTGTGACCTGAAGGTCCTGGGTTACCAATTGAATGTGAATGGAGTGGTTCACTTTCATCTGAATTTTTTGGATTTTTTTTTCCTTCTTAGTCTCTTTCTTTCTTTCTTGTTCTTTTCCCTTTCCTTGGCTTTTTTATTTATTCTTTTGTGCTTTTTTTCATCGAGCTAAATCTCGATTCTGCTGAGCAATTTTTTTATTTTGTTGTGTAATAAGGTCCAACAGATATTGGGATGTCGGTAGGTCATCCAGATGGATGGGAATTGGTGCCACTGATGATGCTGATTTTTCACGGGATGCAGGGATCTCCTTCCGTTTTTCTTTGGAGCCATTCTGGGATTTGCTTCGAGTGTCAACCATGTTTTTAGAGAAAGATAGGTTCTAACAGAGAGATTGTTCCCACAGACGGCACCAATGATCAGACCAAATACAGTATGGACAGGCCTATATGTATCGAGCCCAATCACACACGGTTGAATGATCTTACGTTGTTAGCGGCCTGGGCCTGGTATTGCTGTTGGAGCGTGCTTGAGCTTTTGTCCTTCTCGTTGGCGTGTTGCACCAAATGTGTAGGGGGTACCTGCGAAGACACTCCGATGCTTAAGTCAGTATCAGAGGCAGGTGTTTTTGTGTTGATTAAGTAAAGATGATCGTATCTTGGTGGTATATCGTTTGCTTATATAGTAGTTAAGATGCCGCCTTAGTTAAGGAGGCTTGGCTTTTGAGTGGCCAGCCTTGGGCTGCAGGTCAGTCAAGGGACCTGAGTAGCCTTATCTTCCATAGTGTCTAGTAGTAGAGTTGTGGCAAGCTGGAGCTGTCCGTTGTTTACTAGAGTTAAGGCGCGGTTGAGTTGCCTTGGGCCTTATGTTTACTTCCTATAGAAGGTTTCATACGCGATGTGGGTATCGCGTCTTGTGTGTCGCGATGAGGGCATCGCGTCTTGTGTGACGCGATGAGGGCATTGCGTCTGTTTTTGTTCTTTGCGCTTTACTTCTGGTCTTCAATGGGCCTGGGCTTCCTTATGTGTTTTTGGGCCCTGGTTGGGCCTATATTTTATTCGAATCACATAGATATAGACACAAAACACGTTAAATAAGTAGGAAAATTTTATATTAGCTATCTTTTGTAATCCTTAATATAAAATGAGAATTTTTCTTTAAAAGTCATTTTCTTTCATTAGTTGAGGGTGCTAAAGACTTAACTTGATCCATTAATTTGGTTTGAATCGAAACTAATCATCTGATATTAGGTTATAAAAATTAGACCCATGCATTTACAGAGTGGCAAAAACTTTCATACTCTACACCATAAACCACGAAAGGGACTGGTGTCATTTAAAAGGGTTGAGACATCCCAAAAAAATAAAAAATAAAAATAAAATTGGCACAACCCTATTTAATATTACATAATATTTTAAGAAATAATCTTTTTGAAAATTAGGTATAAATTATACAACTTTTTGACTTAAATTAATATTATAATATTTTTATATTGGTCTAATTTATTTCAAAATATTGTGAATAATCCCTTAGTTTTAGTTTTGTAGTTCAAAAGTGTTTTAACTTGGTTATACTAAAAATTTATATGTTGGGAAAAAAGAGTGTTATTTTAAATGATATACCTTATATCCTTTTACTTTTACAATGAAATGAGACTTGCACTTTTAAAACTTTTTCCTCCCACTCTCTCTTATAATTTGTCTCTTTTTCTCACTTAACATGACATAATTTTATATTTTTTTAAATGATACGTATTTTCTCCTTGTATGTTTCATTTAAATCTTTGATCAACGCAATTATAAGTTGCACTATGACTGAGTCGGTACCCAACTTTTATTGGGCCAAGATTCGCTCATGTTAAGCTTACTCAACTCGACAATAAACACCTTTCTTATTAGTACTTTATTTCATGTTTTTATCTCCTAATTTTTTTGTTTAAATTGAGAAGATGGTAGTTTGGTTTAGCTTAAGGGGGAGTTTGGTAAAGGAGAATGAGTTTATAGGAAATGTCACAAAAAATTATTTGGTATCAAAATATTTTCGAGAATATTGTTTGAAAATTTACTCAACATTTTCCCACCCTCCAGAATTCTTGAAATACCACATCTTGAATGACATTCTACGTTGGGGTTGTTATGTGTTATTTAAAATTTTGGAAATAAAATTTTCTCAAGATTATTTTAGATTTCTTTATACCAAATGTGACAATATCTGATTGCCATTATCACTTTCCTGAAATATATATATATATATATATATATATATATATTTGCAAAAAGGAAAAGGAAAATGTTATAAAAAAAAAAATATATATATATATTTGCAAAAATATATGTCCACGTACCACACACCACCTAAATGAAAAGGAAAACATTTGGAGTCGTGCTTAAAATTAACCATTCACTAAACTAATTTAACCCATAGTTTATTTACAAGCAACCACGAATCTAATGAGGAAATGTTGGGTTTTTATTTTATTTTATTTTTACGGTGTAATTACGTTTCATGAGAGGCACAACTTTAATGTTTATTTTATTTTTTTTCCTTTTTCTTTCTTAAAATAAAGCATATTTCACGAAGTCGTGAGCTTCACCAAGTAAAAATTAATTCCCCAACCCCAACTCCAATACTAGCTCAATTGGCAATTGAATATTTATGGGTTTGTTTTGATTAAGAGTTGAAACTTTGACCAAAATAAATTTTTAGAACCGAGAACAAAATGATCAAAAGAGATATAAGGATACCTTTGGATAATTTAAAAAAAAAAAAAAAAAATTCCTAGCTACACTCTAGGACTTACCTCTTCAAAGGATACTGAATTAATCGAAACTCTTGGGGATGATATAGAAACTCAAACTCGAAATCAGATTCATGGGATCTGTTAAAATTGTGGACACAAGCTAATATTTTAAAAAATAAATAAATTTGTCCCTCTCTAAACCAACGAACTGTCATCCTTCTCTTTAAAAAAAAAAAAAAGTTGTTTCCGTGAGAGGTGGCAGCAGAGCAAAGAGCACCCTGGCTGCGGAACAATGAGACAAGTGGGCACGGAACATGCATGATCGTAATAATTGTTTTCAAAACACCTCAAATGACGCTACTACCCTCGTAATGTCCTAGCCGTTAGTTTCAGTTAAGATCTCCACGGCACCATTTTACCCATTCGTCATATCAAAACCAGAAAAGGCCATTTCCGTAATTCCACAAGTTTCTCCTTCCCCTGTTAAAAACTGAACCCTATGTGGTAAGTAGTATACTTCCCCGTCCACAGTGAATCAAAAACACCACACACACACTCACACTCACTCTAGGGTTAGGGTTTGGTTGCATCAATGGCTTCCACTTCCTCTTATCCAAGCAAAGCCGAAGTTGGTGGCGGTGGCAGTGACCGTGCCGAGATTTCGGAAGCAGCGGTGGCGAACGATGAGCTATTACTATACAGGGGATTTAAGAAAGCGAAGAAAGAGAGAGGAAGCACTGCGAAGGAGCGCATCAGTAAGATGCCACCTTGTGCTGCCGGCAAACGCAGTTCCATATACCGCGGCGTCACCAGGTGCGGTGATCAATTTTTCGGTTTTACTTGCTATGTAGGATATTATCTTGTAGTCATGCCTATATACACTTTCTATTGATTGATATTATCTTTTGTAACATTGTTTTGTCACTGGTGTATGGATTTAATGGTTTTCTCTCTCTGATTATGGACTCATTTTTCTAGTTTCATGACTTATTATTAGGCATAGATGGACTGGTCGTTATGAAGCACATCTTTGGGATAAAAGTACATGGAACCAGAATCAGAATAAGAAAGGAAAGCAAGGTCAGTTCTAAGTTGTAACTTTCCTTCGTATTCTGTTTCTAAATATACTTACCTGGAGATATTGTTTAACACGTTTCGATATCAAAAAACATGTCCTGCAATTACTTACATCATCTATTTTAATGTGGTGCATGGATTAATTGGACAACAATTCATTTGTGATGCCAGTTTACTTGGGTAAGTTGGATATGTTGTGCTTCCTTTCCTTGAATCTCCACTCTCTTCTTTGCCTTTTTTCTTCTGTTTTTTAATGAACTTGATGTACCATTCATAATGATATTTGTTGCTGATGGCTCTCGAACAGGGGCATATGATGATGAAGAGGCTGCAGCTAGAGCATATGACCTTGCTGCTCTGAAATACTGGGGTCCGGGTGCTCTTATAAACTTTCCAGTAAGATAGTTGCTTCAATGATTATATTGATTTGCTGTACTCCTAGTTCAGAAATGCTATAGTTTTGTGCTTTGTGTTTTCATATTGCTAGGTGAAAATGATGTCTACTTATTTCCTGCTTCACTTTTTTTATCTCAAAAGATGCATTGGACTATTGGAGATGACATGAATTTCAAGTTAAAAACCAGCCAATTATTAGTTGGAATTGGTGCTTCTAAAGTCAGCTACAGTTTGCTTGCTGACTGTGGACTGTATCATCTGCAAGGCCTTCTTTTCATAAGATATCTATAGCATCAGATTGAAAACATTTGTTGATAGCTAGGGTTTGAGACTTTATGGTAGGAAAAGCACACATCACCTATTCTTTTCTGATAAATACAATAATTTCATATCAAGATTGAGCTTAATGCTACAGGTGACTGATTATGCAAGAGATCTTGAAGAAATGCAGAATATTTCAAGAGAGGAATACCTTGCATCTTTGCGGCGGTGTGTATATATTTTGCATCAAAATATTTTCTAGCATGAAACCATCTGCTGCTTATGTGTGATGCTTTGTGCAGGAAGAGCAGCGGTTTTTCTAGAGGAGTATCCAAATATCGGGGACTCTCTAGGTGTGATTCCGTCAAAAGGATACCAAATGATTCCAATTAACATGCGTGCATACATTCACACATGCACACACACACAAAAATTTACTTTCTTCATCTTTTGTGCATTGATATACATTCTCTGCTAGAAAAATATTATATAGTTTTTGTTATGGAAGCTTTATAACTCACATTTTGAATTGTAATGCTCTTCGTGGCTCCATTTAAAAGTGTTTCAGAGGTCCTGGGGAGGGAGAAATCAATTCAAGGTTATACATACACAATTGGCAGTTTTTTAAGTAAACTAAATTATTAGTTTGATGTTTAATTTGAAACCTCATTTATATTAGTTTATACAGAAATTGTCTGGAAATTGAACCTTTATTTATATTATATGCACATCTCAAGTCTCTGGGTTTGTATGTACAACTAGTTCTTCATTGATCAACAGATTTTTTCCTTTTCCACTCTCTGCTACATCTCTGTCACCTAGCGTGGCTGTTGTCCAATACGTTAGATGACTGGCATGAATTTTATGGTTTAATCTTCCCTTTTCTTTTCTTTTTGATGTGGTGGTAAAAATTAGCCAATGGGAGCCATCATATGGTCGTGTGGCTGGATCTAACTACTTCAATAGTATATATTATGGTAAGTTGTAATTAAATTTCAAATTCAAACTATCTTCTATTGAACAGAATTTTGCGAATCAAATTCATTTAACACATTTGGCTACTGAAAGAAAACTACAAGTATTCAATTATTTCACATGTTTTATCTGCAATATCATGATGATCCCACTTCTCAAATTTAAAGTACAGGTGATGATGATTCAGCTGCAGAAACTGAATCTGTAAGTGGTTTCTGCATAGAAAGAAAGATTGATTTGACAAGTTACATCAAGTGGTGGGGGTCTAATAAAAGTCGACAACCTGATGCCGGAACAAGATTATCAGATGAAAAAAAGCATGGTCTTGCTGGTGATATTTTCTGTGAAATCAAAGCATTGGAAAATAACGTCCAACCTTCAGAACCATACCAATTGCCAGAGTTAGGCATGCCCCATGACAAGAAAAAACATAAACGCTCTTCTGTCTCTGCTTTAAGTATCTTGTCACAATCAGCTGCTTACAAGAACTTGCAAGAGAAAGCATCAAAGAAACAGGAAACTTGCCATGATAATGACGAGAATGAAAATAAGAATACCATCAATAAGTTGGACCATGGTAAGGCAGCTGAGAAATCATCCAATCATGATGGTGGCAATGAAAGACTTGACATTGCAATGGGAATGAGTGGATCACTACCACTTCAAAGAAATGTTTATCCACTGACTCCATTATTGTCTTCACCACTTTTTACAGCCTACAGTACTGTTGATCCCTTGGTAGATCCTGTTATCTGGACGCCTCTTGTTCCTGTACTTCCTGCTGGCCCTTCCCGTATGACTGAGGTTGGTATAATTGCTAAAGTGCTTGAACTTGTGAGGATTGAGATTACATGAAAATTTCTTGCTAATTGTTCAAAAACGTTCAGGTAGTTTTATCGGTCTTAAATAATGATTCATATTATAAATCATGTACTTTCTGATATTCGAAACAAAAAAAATTATTGAATCAGAAAGAAAACTCAAATAGGAAATAAAATAATTCATTCACAAAAAAAAAAAAAATAAATAAATAAATCTATCAGTATGTATATCAATTTGTCGACATGAGAACATCTTTGAATCAATACCATAATATAGTTTCATTTCCAAGTCAGGTTAAAAACTTGTTCTATATGTTATAAAAAAAAAAAAAACTTGTTCTATGCTATTAAACCAACAAGGTAGTGTCAACAAATTGAATTTGATCTCTCATGGATCAATGTAGTGAGGGCATATCGTAGAAAACATTATTTTCTGATGAGTTCTTATTTCATGTTTCTATAATTCATCCCAAATGGTACTTTTTTTTGAGTATTGACAGAAAGATGTAGAGAAAGTATTACATAGCCAGATAGTTGCAAATTTAGATATGTTAAATCTCATAGATACAAGAGGAAAAGATAGTAATCCTCGCTATATTAAACTACACAACATTGGTGCTATTATATAGCAAACCAATTGAAGAATACAAAGAGACACACTCAATGTGGGACTTCTACACTATTAACACTAACACTCTTAACATTCCCCCTCAAGCTGTAGCATATAGATCATATGCTACAAGCTTGATACATAAATAATACTCCCATTAGGAACCAAAAACAACAATGCTACATCAACGAAATGAAATTACTAAGTACAACAAATCAACTGGAATGACCATCAGTCTGAAGAGCTGATAAAGAGACAGTGCTGGAATGGACATCAGAGCATGGATGGTGCCGGAATTATCATCGGCAAAGACAACTGAGCTGACTAGGACATCAGCATCAAGATCCCTCTCAGACATTTCATTTAACAGTTGGTGAGCAGCCGTGGTTTCCCCTTGACTATGCTACAAGCTTATTGCAAGAAAGACCAAGTAACATAACATCAAAATAAATATCCTAAATGAGAAACCAAAAATCAACAATGTGCTAAAAATGGCGTCGAAATGAACATCAACATGGAAGATGCCGGAATGATCATCGGCAAAGACAATTGTGCTGGAATGACCATCAGCAACATGGACGGTGCTCCCCCTCAAGAGGAACTTCTAAATAGTGCCGGAATTATCATCGGCAAAGACAATTGTGCTGGAATGACCATCAGCAACATGGACAGTGCTCCCCCTCAAGAGGAACTTCTAAACAGTGCCGGAATTATCATCGGCAAAGACAATTGTGCTGGAATGACCATCAGCAACATGGACAGTGCTCCCCCTCAAGAGGAACTTCTAAACTGTGCCGGAATTATCATCGGCAAAGACAATTGTGCTGGAATGACCATCAGCAACATGGACAGTGTTCCCCCTCAAGAGGAACTTCGGTGTCGGAATTAACATCAGCGGAGACAACATCAGCAACTTGGACAGTGCTCCCCCTCTAGAGGAACTTCGGTGTCGGAGACAACATCAGCAACTTGGACAGTGCTCCCCCTCAAGATGGATGATGAATAGTATAAATACTCCATCTTGGGAAGAAAGAAGATTAAAGAAAAACAAAGCTTCGCAGAATCGGAAAAGTCGCCGGAGACGGCGGTGGGTCGTCGGAAAAGTCATCGGAGACGGTGGTGGATCGCCGAAAAAGTCGCCGGAAAGTCATCGGAAAAGTCACCGGAAAAGTCGCCGGAGACGGCTGTCAACGGTGGACGACGCGGTCAACGGTGGTCGGTCAACGACAACGGTGGTCAACCCAACAACTTCCCAAGGATCATTCTTTTCTGATGTGACAGATCAGTCTAAGCTGCAGTCACAGAGCATACTAAGAAAAACCCGAAAAAGAAATAGCAACGGGAATCCCTCATGGAGGGTGATATCTCTCTATAACCATATTGAAATTATGAAAAATAGAACTAAGTTAAATGGATTAAGATTCCTCTTGTTAGGCTCTAGATACCATGTTAAGAACCTTGGGATACACCACCCTAAAAGCTAGCTCAAGGGGTGAGAGTGCCCAAGACCTTATAAACTCCACATTAGTTGCACATACAACCAATGTGGGACTATATATCTCAACACGCCCCCTCACACGAGAGAGTGGACAATGCAATAGGCCCAGCCTACCTGTGCTAAGAAACACCACAAGAGAAAGTGGGGGCCGCGAGGCTCTGATACCACGTTAAATCTCATAGATACAAGAGGAAATAATAGTAATCCTTGTTATATTAAACTACACAACATTGGTGCTATTATATAGCAAACTAATTGAAGAATACAAAGAGACACACTCAATGTGGGACTTCTACACTATTAACACTAACACTCTTAACAAGATACATAAGACACATCAACTATTTTAAGATTTCCTTCTTGTGTGGACATTAGCTGCAGACCTTTTTAAACCAATTTTCTAATTATCATCTAATAATTTAAATAGAGGAAAAGCAGCCCGTTTGCCATTAAAACTTTATCTGACAATAATAAGATGCAGGCACAATAATTGTTCAAAATCATCAATTACACGAATTGATATATCTATCTCCCTTCATCCCCCAGATGATCGTATATGGTAAGATAAGAATTACTTATAACATTATTGTAAATTCATCTCACCAAGAAAATATTGATTGATGAGCAGGTTACAAAGACTGAGACCAGTTCAACGTACAGCATTTTTCAGCCAGAGGAGTGATTGGACATTTGAACAAAAAATCAAGCGTCTTAAGAGCTGAGCTTGAACCAAACAACAGGCAAAAGCGTTTCAAGTGCTCAGCTAGTCTGAGAAAATGAACCCATACCTTGAGTTTTGCTAGCTTGTATTATATTATATGGGTTTTATACATCAGAAAAGAAAAGAAAATATTATTGTTGTTTTGCAATGATGATATTTATAGGATTTAGCATAAATCTTTTCAAGCTATATCTGTCTACATGTATCAGTTGATATCTCTATCATGTATATGTGCTGCTGGACAACGTTCATTTTATCCAGACTGTTCTGTACAGAATACGAAGAGGAATTATGTAAGAAAATCGTTATTAGTTATTTTACACACGAGTTTCCAAGGCGCTATTATTTTCTTTTAGCATTAATTGGCACCATTATGTACGCGCTTTCAATTTGTCATCCCCAGGTATTTCTTAGGCATTAGTGTAAAATGTTATTTAAATTTTGGGGCATGTGTGGATTCCAATAGGCTGTTGGGAATTTAGGCGGTAGGGAATTCAAAATGTGTAAGATGAAAAATGCAAGAAGAAGCAGAGGCAAGCAAGTTTCATTTAGCGCCATACATCTTGCCAAGAACTCTACCTTTCATCAAAGATCCAAACATTTTGATGTAAGGTATCATCGGATAAAAGATATTCTAGAGGCTAAAAAGAAGGATACTTGCAAGTTGTTTGGACCTGTTCGTGAAAAATCATAGCTCGTATGGAAAATCTAAGATCATTGCATGAAAGAGGATGCAAAAACAATGAAAACTAGAGCCAAAGTAGTTGTAGAAACCATCGTACGTGCAGCTAGAAGTGGATGTGCATGAGGGTGTGTCTGGCAATATTTTTGGACGGCTCCAACGTCGACGTAATCCTCTGTCTATGGTGGTTATGACTATGTGGTTGACGTGTTGATTGGAGTTCTTGGGCTTTTTGACCTTAGTAATCTCATTTTCGTAAAGTTTTACCGGAATAATTTCTTGGTCAAACGTATTACCTATATAATGCATAATGACGCGGTACCGTGGGAATCACTTTAGGATGTGACACTTTAGCAACCGCGTCCTTTGCATTTGTTCCTGCACCACTGGAACGTGATACCCTGGCAATCACGTCCTATTCCACTGGAATGTGATACCATGGCAATCACGTCCTATTCCCAAGACGCGGTCCCCTCTTAGCCGCGTGTCAGTACGTCCATCCCAAAAAGAATTCAACAGGAAGCGGTAGTGTATAAGCCGCGTTCTAGGTTACAAGTCAACTCGGAGTCACACAGATATATATATTTCACCTAAAATTTAGGCATATTGATATATTCACGGTAAAAGAGTTCAAAAAATCCAATAAAAGCAACAAGTTATTTTCGTACAAAATGGTCTTTATAGTTGCTAGCAATTTATTCTTTACTGGTTATAAGACTAACTCTTAAACCAGAGAATAATTAATTCAAAAATTTACTAACAATAAAATTATAATTATTATAATTTTAAGGTGTTGGATAAAGGTCTTTATAATAGATTATATTATTCACTTACACACTCACTCGTACGAAAACCCTTTGGGCTTAAAGTATGAATTTTGCATAGATTCTATTTTTTTTTTGTTTACCTTAATATAAATCATTAAGAAAACTCTCTCATCACGTTAAAATTTTGGATTAAATTGTTTCTTTCACATATTGGAAATCGGGAAAGCAGGCCAAACACAAAACAGGGGTATAAGATTGGGTACTATTGGATTTATAGGATTTTATGAACTCTTTTACAATGAATATATCAATATGCCTAAATTTTAGGTGAAACATATATATCTGCTTGGCTCTGACTTGACTTGTAACCTGGAACGCGGCTTATACACTACCGTTTCCTGTTGAATTCTTTTTGGGATGGGAAGCACTGACACGCGGCTGAGAGGGTACCGTGTCTTGGGAATAGGACGTGATTGCCATGGTATCACGTTCCAGTGGAATAGGACGTGATTGCCAGGGTATCACGTTCCAGTGGTCAGGAACAAATGCAAAGGACGCGGTTGCTAAAGTGTCACGTCCTAAAGTGATTCCCACAGTACCGCGTCATTATGCATTATATAAGTAATACATTTGACCAAGAAATTATTCCGGTAAAACTTTATGAAAATAAGATTACTAAGATCAAAAAGCCGAGTTCTTGAGATGGCGCAACACGCAAAATTGCTAGTTTACCAAGGTTGAGTGTTAGAGTTTCATGCTAGATTTCTTGTTTTTGCCGATGATTACAAAAAATGATTGAACATAGACTCTAGGCCTGAAAGAAGTATGAAAGTAAGTGGACAATTTAGAAAATATTTTGGGATAAAATATTGGTTTGTAATTTTTTCTCTCTAAAAAGTTATGGATAAATATTAGCTTGATATATTTGTGTAGCTCGAGTTAAATCATTCATAACATGTTCAGGAAATTAATGTTATTTTTCCTAACAATATGTCAAAATCTACAAAATTTGTTTTTTTTTTTATAATAAAAGGTGGAAGAATAGTTCGCTTTAGAGAATGGAAATGGATCTTCTCATGTGATAAAAAATGATATGGTCATGTGAGAATATCACAACTATACAAAGGTGAATCAACAGTTATGATTTTGTAACTATCTATTTTAATAATTTTTTTCTCTCTTCCTTTATTATCATTGATCAACCTTTGTAAGGTTATGATTCCGTACATGACCATGTCATTTTTTTCATAGAGGATCCAGATCCTTAAAGAAAGTTTGTTCCTTAATAAAAAGAGAACGTGTTTTCGTCTCATCAACATGCGATGATGTCGGTCAGCTGGCGGGACAATTTTGCGAAATTGCTGGGTTGGTTGACTATGATAGAGATTTCACATAAAGTGAGCCCTTTCTTTTCATTCTTACTTTTAACATACATAAAATAAATTTGAGAAAAAGTTAGAATCTATGAACGACGCATTAGTAAATTCGCACACAAGAGCATGTATAAATAGCCATAGGCATTCCTCGATTCTAAATAATCCCAAGGAGAATTTTTTTGTCAATATTATTCATTGATCAATGAATTCTCTTGTTCTTGGACACATAGTAGGAGATATTTTGGATCATTTTACAAGTTTAGTTTATATCTATTATGGATTGGCAATAATATCTCAATCCATCAGGTTGATCATTAAAGCCCACATAAGCGGTTATACATTTATATCTCTAAATTGAGACTTTTAAACCCTTTTTATAGAGGATTCGCCCCTTGCACAACACACTTCACGCATTAGGTGAGTGTGCTTACCTTACACATAGTGGGCCCACAAGGGCAAAATAATTTTAACTCATCATTAGGGAATCTTTCCATATTTATACTCCTCTTCTTCCATTGAGGATGCACCTTTTACATACCATTTACATTGTTGTTATGTTGCAGAATTCTCTCCATAAAGCCATTGTGCCCGGCATACTTGCCTTGATTCTCAGCCTCCGACATTATTAACGGCGATTCTCCATTGAACTTAGGTCTATATGGCTTGCCTCATACATACTCTTACATCGAGATACTACACCCCATAAGGGACACATATATTATTTCATCACTTGAATAATTAACTGGCACTGTTTGTGGGAAACAATAAATTCCAATTATCATTTTCTACAAAACAAAGCTAATAAACTCACTTGAAAAACCAAATCAACCGTGAAAATAATTTAGACAAAGAAAACCCACCATGCAAGAGCTCTGATAGGAAAAACTCTTGATGGACACATCATGACTCTCTATGAAGATTTTTTTCCTTCTGTTTAGGTTCCTTTGCCTGAAGTTCATGTGTTGCAACTTGTTGTTGTAGCAGCTCTTCTAATTGATACTCCTATTGTTGTCGTCTCTATTATATTAGACAAAGCAATGAGGAGATGATTGGCAATATAAGGATGGAAGTTTAATACTGATGCACTTAAGTCACCATAAATTATTATAACTGCAGACGTTTCAGTTTTAAAGCTTTTTATGGATTTTAATAATTGCAGACGTTTCTGTTTGCATGACTTTATGTTTGTTTATGGTTATTTCCGTTTTGTATCATTTTTTAAGACTTTTGATGATTGAAGAATGATAATATAGCAAAAAACTTCTGCATTTTCCTGAAAGCCTACTTTCCATATAATTTTGCATCATTTGGTATCAGAGCTCAGGTTGCCTTAAAGATGGCTGAGCAGGAAAATCACGAAGGTCGTGGTCGTGGACGAAGAGGTCGTGGCGGCAGACGCGGTCAACCTACCGATGGTGATTATTATACTGATGCGAGAGATGCTGAAATTGAGGAAAAGGACAGACGGATCCAAGAACTCGATCAACTGCTTGCAGAGGCACAGTTGCACGAGTCAGATGAAGGATGGGAATCTGAAAGATCATCTCATGAGGAGGAAAGGAGATTATGGAACCGAAATCAGGAGCGACGAGGACGAAGTCAACCTGGAAATCAATCCTTTTTTGCTAATATTGAGGTGAAGATTGAGATCCCAGAATTCGAAGGCACTACTCATCCAGATGAGTTTATCGACGGGTCACACACCGTCGAAAAGATCTTTGACATCATAGACTTGACAGAAGACCAGAAGGTCCCAATCTATGATGAATATGATGAAGAGCAAGATGATGATAATCCTGTTATGGATGCTGCAATTTATGACAAGTTCCCTATCTACGATAAGTATGATTGGGAGCAAGATGACGAGAATCCAGAGGTGAAAGAAATCTCTTGTAGTGATTCCGATGGGAAGTCAATTATTAGAAATTCTAATATCTCTGACAAAGATGAAGTTCTACCCAAAGATATCATGCAGAATGATCCTTCATCCAAGAAGTCTTTAGTTTGCAAGCAGTATTATGAATTTAGGGACAACGAGCATAACAACCTTATGCTCCATGGAGATAAAGATTTACCTTTTGGTAAAAGTTTAATTGGAGATCGTCAAAGGCAATGGGACTTGGTGGTACATCAGACAAAGTTTTCCTATGACGGATCACAGATGCGATCATTGATCCAAACTACAAATGAATATACCAAGCATGTCAAAGAATTGCATTTCCATGTCCTAATCTTAATTAGGAAATTTGGTGATATTGTACCAGAAGAGTTGCCGCCTGGATTACCACCTGAAGACGTTGCAGATTCGAGGGCGAATATTTTCCTAGTGGGAGAGGATGATGCACTTAAGTCACCATAAATTATTATAACTGCAGACGTTTCAGTTTTAAAGCTTTTTATGGATTTTAATAA